CTTGAACACAGATAATGATATTCCCATGAGAGAATTCAGAAGAGTATTTGGCGAGCACACGTAGCTTTCGATAAATTCTCTTCGGGCCGTGCGCGCAGAAGAACCTCCTGCAAGCACCGAGCTTGGCATGGCGAACGGTTACGTAACTACCTGCATCTTTTCGCGCTTTCTACCGCTTTCTACCGCTTCAACCCCCCCTGATCCCCTGTCCGGACTTAACAAACCCTCGTCAACTTGCAACCAGTTGATTATTATCAACCCCACGCCCCCTGCCCTATCCCCATGACTAATCTGCGTTTTGTGATAACATAATTACCAGCGAGTTACTTTTTTATCCCCTCCCTATATAAATGTAATGGCGCGAAGAGAATTTATCGAAAGCTACGTATGCTCGCCAAATACTCTTCTGAAATAATGATATGTAGTTCGTTGTGAGGTTGATTCTACAGCGTAGTCTACGCAGGGAGGGTACTCACGCTAACGTTATTGGAAATAATAAAGTATGCTTAACCATTTGGAGCAAAAATAAAACTGCAGCGCCCCCGTGGACTGGGTAACGGTATCCTTCATCCCATTTTAGCTCAGTTCTTCGGATGCGAATACTTGCAGCGTATGAATATCTGGGAAGCTATTTGCCCTCCTAGGACGTATATTACCGAACCGCATTTGAAACAGGAGGGCTCGATTGCTTTTTAGTTATAAAAAAATAATCTCTACTAAGTGCCTGACGTATTAGCGAAAGCTCAGGTAGAGCATAAGCTTGACAAAAGGATAATTGCGTTGTTTGCCAATGGGCATTTAGCGCTGATTATGAATTTGGGGTGGTGTGTGTGTTCGTTTATTTAATTGGCTGTTTTTCACAGAAGCCCGATGCTATAGATTTACTCCATATGGACGTATCAAACCTGGATATTGACGCTCAATTGCTTGAGCAATTTAGTTCACTCGGAACTGACGATCGGGAAGATCTGATAAAGGCATTTCAACGCGTTGTCGGACATGAGGTCACCGCCGAGTGTAGTCGCTTCTTTCTAGAACTTGCCAACTGGTGCGCTATTTTTCAAGTACGATTCATATTTTTAGGAATCTTCAAAAGGGGATTGGAGCTTATTTCGACTACAGCTTTGAAGCTGCGCCGGAGACTTCTGTTCAAACCCACACCATCAGACATATCACCGTTGAAGAGTCAAGCAGTCAGTCCCTTCCAGAACCTGCCTTGTACAGTGCTCGCGTCTACCATTCTCCGAATTCCGACTTTAAGAAAACTCCTACCTTAATTTGGTGTGTACAGAATAGTGGACCTTCTGCATGGCCGGCAGGCAGTTATATTGCTGCAGAGGTAAGCCTTGTTTCGTCGGTAATTCCCGAAATAGACCGACTCATCTACCGCTAAACTCGTAACGACGAACGGTCTGTCAGCTGTCTGGGTTCCTCTCTCCGCTAACCAACACATTCCTCTTCCCGAATTGCCTGCAGGCGACTTCACCCACCTAATTGTTGACTTACAAACCCCT